TATGTGTGGGTGTCAGGGAGCAAAGGAAAAATGAATTTGTATGCAAGAAAAAGGAAATAACACCTGGGCTAATCCCCTTTTGAGCTCGTCAGAAACACTGTTCCCATGAATTTGGGCTGTCTGATGGGCTCTTGCTTTTTAACAAACACCCTTAGAAAATTTTTTTTCTTGCCTGAATAACAACCCAAGTGGAACAGTGTTTTTGTTAAGAAACCTTCAAAGAAATTACTGACCTGAATTGCTGCCAGGATGGAAAATTACTATGACTTGAGCCAGCTCTCCTGCAACCCTATATCAGTCCTAAGTGAGACCTCGTGAACTCTCCAGGACCAGAGTGGGCTACAATCATCAGCCTCCTTCTGAAGAGGAGGAGGAGGGAGGAGGAGGCCTCTCAAGGCCAGTGGACTCTCAGATTTGCAATACTTGGAGACACTGACAGACCTTGGATGATCCCCAACCACTGGTTGAGGTTCAACCCTTCTCCCCTTGAAAAGATACAAAAGCATCCAACATGAGCTGAACTCAAGGGGAATTTTTCACAGGTACATACTCATTTAGGTCTGTGTGGGTGCAAGTGTGAACATACCATAGAAAATTTACGATGAATATTGGTCCCTTAGATTCTTAAATATGTTAGATTAATAAGTTAGGCCTATGAGTTACTGTCATGCTTGTAGTAAATTCTGCAGACTTTTGTTAAAGAACTAGGCTATCAATTAAGTGCTGTTAAGTATGGTTTAAACCTTTAGGGTAAACCATTGGTCATTTCTGGGACTAAGTTTGGCAAAAGGGTCCACTCTGAACCTTGTGACTCAATAGGTGGGTCTCCCTCATTCCTTTTTATTCTTACCCTTTCCCATTCTTCCCCTTTTTCTATCCCCAGCCTCCATGTAAGTTACTTTTGGTAGATTTTAGATTTAGATTGATTGATTTCATATTTTAGTCCAATTTTTCTGTGTGCTTTAACCCTATAGTAAACAGTAGGGCAAACCTTTGAACAAATTTTGTCACGCTTTCACTTTAGTATCAAACCTGCTTTTGCTGGTTTTTAGCTGGTGATTCTCTGAGCGACCTGAGACAGTTGTTTGTGACAGGTGGAGAACAAAATAATGAGAAGATTCCCTCCCTGTTCCCTCTCCTACCCCAACTTGATAGAGACCAGGTAAATTCATACTACAGGTGGAACCACTCGGTATATAGTTCACTTCTTTGGATCGCTGCTGCCCTCTTCTGCTGTCTTCCCATGGCTGTCGTGGCATGAGCAGTTTTTGTACTGCACCAAAGGCCTTGTGTCTGTTGTGATGTAATGAGAGGTTGTGGAGTGAAATGCAGTGACTTTCTAGGGCTGAGCTGCACAAAGAATAAGTTTTATTCAGGACAGTGCTGTCATTTGTGGTTGGTACGCTTTTGTACTTACTTCACAGAGTCGTAAATGATGTCGAGGGCATGTGTTGTGAGAAAGAGTCTGCCAGCACTGAAAAAGCAGACACTGTTCTGGCCATGTTTCTTGGGTCAACATGACTGGCAGCACTGTAGTGTGCCTGTGTTGGGCATTTGAGCTGGTGCAGACCTGTGGGTAACATGTAATGCCTCAGAAATGTGGGGCTTCAAACCTTGCTTTCTGTTGCAACACTTCTGGGGTGAAGCAATTTCCTCTGCATAGCTTCTGTAATTAAGTTTATTAAGAATTCTGGCACCCTGACAAATGGTCGTATTGTATTTTGAGGCACAGGGCAAGTGCTAGACAGAAGTCTGAAGTCTGAAGATGTAGGAGGAATTGAGGCATGGCCAGCTAAGTCCAGGGGAGAGCCACAAAGATGATTAAAGGGATGGAGCACCTCTTTTATGAAGACAGGCTGAGAGATTTGGGGTTGTTCTACCTGGTAAAGGTCCCAGGGAGGCTTTAGAGCAGCCTTCCAGTACCTAAAGGGGACTACAAGAGAGCTGGAACAGGAGTTCTTATAAAGGCATGTAGAGCAATGGGGAATTTCTTCAAGCTGAGAGAGGGTAGGTTTACATTAGATATTAGAAATTCTTTACTGTGTGGGTGGTAAGGCTCTGGCACAGGCTGCCCGGAGAACTGGTGCATGCCCCATATCTGGAAGTGGCCAAGGCCAGACTGGATGGAGCCCTGAGCAACCTGGGCTAGTGGAAGGTGTCCCTGTCCACAGCAAAGGAATTGGAATTAAATGATCTTAAGGTCCCTCCCAGCACAAAGCATTCTGCAATTTTGTGATTTAAGGGCATACTAAGATGAAGCTATACAATTTTATTTCCCTTGCAGCTGACACTATTCCCAGACCTGACTGCATGGTTTCTGCCCAGCCTTGTGCTCTTGCAGGGTGCCTGGCTGGTAGGTTCCTGGGCTCTCCTCCGTGTGGCTGTATTCCACCAGGTGCAGTCCAAGGCTGTGGGAACCCAATGTGTGCTCCCAGAGGGTTTTTGACAGTGTTGGTGTAGCCACCTGGGGTAACCACCACCATCTTACAGAGAGGAGTAAGTGGCAGTTCCACAACTGGGGTCAATTCCAAGGGCATGGACCATCATTCCACTTCCAGACTCGGGTGTGTCTATTATGCTATATTTATTTTGAAAATATGTGCATTTGCTGAGTATTGACAATTATGAATTTTTTTCTCTTTGCCTCAGTAACAGTTATGGGACTAAGATTTGCACGGCAGGTTGATCGACTTAGCATGAGTGAAGAGAAACTCTTAATTACAGGGATGTAGTGACAGCACTTCTGTGTACTGAACAAGAGCAAACATCCCACCCAATGGCTGAGAGCATCCAGAAGTCAGTCAGGAGGCAAATGAATCAGGTAGTGGTGTCTGCTCCTCAAGACTGTGATGCTGTACAAGAGTGTCATCTTGTGTATTCCTGGGTTGTTAACCAATTAGTGGTTATGATGATGTACAGGGGCTTCTCTGAGCATGTTTACACACAGGCAAAATGGAACTTTTTTTGCTGTTCTGTCTGAAATGTATAAATTATGCCATTCCAAGGATGCCTTTCTAGGAGCAGCTAAATTCTTTCTAAATAACTTGCATGTGGGAAAAATTAAAAAAAAATAAAAAAATAAAGTCAGTCTCAGATACTGTGTGTGTGTATACTGAAGTTATAGTTTCTTTCATTCTTCTTGTCTTCCTTAAATTAAGTTCACCTTTTCTGGGAGGGTGAGGATATGAAATTAGTAGTGTGATTTAGCAAACCTTTAGGGACTGAGGTTACTGCCAGATACTTCTAGTCACAGATGGAGTGACTAGAAGTATCTGGCAGTGGGAGGAGGGTGGAGGATTTCTCAGATCAAGCCTTGTAGTCTACAAAGGCTGTGTACAGCATGCTGCACTGCCATGATCTGGCTGGCTAATAAGAACAAGCCATCAGGGCTACATAAACAGCAAAAGCTTCACTTGCACATTCCCTGTGGCATGGAATTGCTCAGCAGTCCTTCCCTCTATGTTGTGTAAAGACACTTGGTGTGGACAAGGGTACCTGTCCCGGAACAACACACAGCACAGGCACCTTTCCAAGCACAAGCACACACAGACATATATGTAGCTTGTGCTGTAGGCTTGTCTCCTGAGAAGACAGGAAATTAGGGTTTTGTTGCAAGTCTGACGCAGTAGGAAATAGAAACAGAGCACATTAGACATATTTTCTTTATTGCTGGACTTTTTTTTCCCAGTAAGTAGACATGGTTCCTTAAAGGCTGAGGTTTTTAAAAACAGTAAGGTTTTTCAGGTTTCTTTTTTTTCTTTTTTTCTTTTTTTTTTTTTTTTTGCTGTGGACAAAAAGATACCTTTGAACAAAGTTTTGCCTTATATTACAGTATTTCTGTACAAAAATAAAAGTCCAAAATCAAATTATTATTAGCTGATATTCCCCAATTTATTTACAGGGTACTGTCAAGAACCTTCATCAGGCAACCAGGTAAAATAAAGAACTCTGTATTAAAGCAGTTGCATTGTATAACGTTGCCTTCTCTAGTCAACCCTGAAGGGCTCTGGCCTTTGGCAGTTGGTCTGGGTTGAAGAGTCCAGCCAGAAGTATAAAACAGTGATATCTTTCAAAGAAAAAATTAATATTAAAAACTTCAGCTGACATTATGGAGAATTGAACTGATAACTATTTCCATATTAAGGTAATCTATAAATATTCTCAGCTACATCTCTCTTTATCATACAGCAGATACAGAATGCAGACTTCTGCTACTTATATGGTAATACATATTTGCAAAAGTAAAATCAATGTATGAAAATTTTGGAATTTACTTGTTAATAAAACTGCTTATAAAGTAACCATACAATTGTAACAACTATAACTCTGAACTATTAAAATGTACAGAAAGACTGTTTACACCATTGCACATACTTATTCCCTTTGCTTCAAAAGACTTGTGAAATACAGAATAAAATTTGTCAAATTTTACTGACATCTCAAATATGCATGCACAATGTGCACATCCATGGAAGCAAGGGGAAACAAAGTGTTGGCATCCATCAGGAAAGCTGCCAGCAGCACTCCAAAAAAATATACCTTGCTCTTCTTCCCTCCCCCTTCGCACCTGTGTACAGGCCAGTAGATTAGTGCAGAATGGATGAATATAACTTTGTTTTCAGTGTTCTGAAAGGACAAAGGAAATCCTCTTGACTTTTATCAGCAATTTTAGGTCAATACAAGTTAGGCTTAATATTGTAAGGCACTTATTACTGCTTGTATTGCAGTGGATCGAGTCTTAAGGCATTTGTTACATGAACTGAAGGTAATAATGCTTTCAAAAGTTTTGAATGAGCCAGCAGTTCTAGTATATGACTATTTCAGCTGATCTTCCCCTGCCTCCCTGCGGTCTTTCTGAAACATTGTTTGAAGATATTTTCTGTTGAAACTCTGGTTCTTGGTTAGCTTGTGAACAAAGGTGATCAATCAATGTCCCCAGGTTGTTCTGAGGCCAAGGAGTGATATATTCTATTTAGGGCACAGCAGAAGTGGTTCTGTTTTCACCTGGAGCTGCCCTGACTTCCATGACTGCTCACGGATCGAGAGGTGCTGTAGCGTTTTTTCACGATCATGCTGATGTACGCTTTCATCAGCTTTGCAATGTCGACCACCTGCCAAGAGCATGAACAGCACAGTTCTTAGTAAGGTAACAGTATTGAATGAATTTCTTTGGACACAAACAATAGAAAACTGTCAAGCTTTCAACAAAACCCTTTTGCAGCTAAACAAATAAAATTACTCAGCACTTCTATCCATGTCATTCTGTCTTTCCTTTAGCTTTACAGGGACCTTGAAAAAATCTCTAACATTTACAGCCATTAGTTGAATTGCTACGTGGCCGGGATATCAGAACAGGAAGACCACAATAACAAAACTACCTTGCACTTACCTCGCTAGTTTCAAAAAGCAGTTCTCTTTCATCCACCACGATCTTGTAGGTGTTGGCAAGCGGAGCACCAAATGACAAGATATGTTCATACTGGAACAGCTCCAGAGGCCTGCCTTCCCCACGCTTGTAGACAGAAACTGCATCAGCACTGACTCCGAGCCACAACTCCTGTGGGAATCCCCCTTCTTTACACTAGAGAAAAAAATGTAAATTAACAGCAAGGGGAACAGTGGGAGCCACACTACTTACTGTTGATGTTTTTGTCTGTAACCATTTGTTAAAAAGTGCCTATTGCTTATCCCTCTTTAAATGTAGCTTTTTATACTTCTTATACTTGTTTTCAACCTTTCAGAATAGCATTCTGTCCCTCTACGGTTAACTGGTGGATTTAAATAGCCACAGTGCTTGCCAGTGGGAGCAGGCTTTTAATAGCTCAAAGTTTATTACATCAGCTTTCTGAGCACTGTGATACTGTATTTATGGTTTCACTGCTCTGGAAGGAAATCATCACCTATACAGTGTAAGCTGTAGTTTGAATGTTCATATGGTCTTACCTCAACATCAAAGAGTGTTGAACCATAGCCAGGCCATTCCTTAATCAAAGCCATGTACTTTGCCATGGCCTGCTCCTGATTCATCCTCTGAAGTTTTTTCCATTTGTCAATAATACTAGTCCTGGAAGCTGAGATTTCCTCTTTGACCCACATGTCTAACATCTGATCCTCCTCAACCTTCTGTTTGCTGACAGAGCCACTGCGGAAACTCCTCCGCAGTGTTCCTTCAAGAAAGCTGGCTCGTTTCTTCTCGGCCTTCTCTGATGCAGTAAATGTTTTGGTCGACTGTGTAATCCTAGACTTCAGCTTTTGCAAAGGATAGACTTCCTCCAGTTCTGGTATGGTAGTGTGCACAGTGTAATCTCCCTGAAGGTACTGAAGACGCAAAGCTGCAAGGACCTGGAGGGTTTCCTCAGGAGCAGGATAATGTCCTTTAATCACTGCTTCATGAGCCTATCAAGGGGAAAAAAGGTACTTTTTTATAAAGCAGCATTTGAAAGAAGTATGAGAAACAAGGGGAGTAGATTTACTCCCAGGCAAACTTAAGTGGGATAAGAGTCAGTTTACCAGAAGAATGGCAAAGCAACTGAGGAACCTGCTAAATGGGAATTACTTTTACTAGGACAGCTTTTAGTGAACTCCCATATCTAAGAGTAACTGAACTATGAAAAAAGAAAATAAGATTTAAAGGGGAAAAAAACCAGGATTTGAACATCTGATTGAGGAGAAGCCATCTTTGTTCAAGGGCATTAGGAAGAAATGGGTCTCCAGTTTTGTTTACTGCTATCAATAATCTGGCTGTGAAAACTGATGTTTCCAGCTAAGCAAGCCAAGCTCTACAACAGCTTTGTAATTTTGCCAAGGGGAAACAGTACATCCTCACTGGGTCCCAAATCAAGTTAGTACATCTACATATTACAGTGCTCTGTAGCATCAGCCGATTCTGAACCAGCATTCTGAACCAAGAAGACTCTTCAAAATCCCAGCTCTACACCTTTCAGACCTGTGAAAATGTGCAGCAGCTAGGTTTTTTCATATGACACTAGTAGAGGAAACAAACATGCACTGAGTCCGGAGATCCAGGAATTGCAAGTTTAGTAAACACACAGAGATAATTCACAGCTCAGCAACAACTAGTTAGTTTAAGTGTACAAAATGTGCCTTTAAACATGGAAATGTTTTACCTGAGATTGTACACATGCAGAAGAAAGAGTTGTCTTTTAGAAATGGAAGGACAGTATTTTAATAAGGAAGAACTAAAATATTTTCTTCAGCACCTTATGATTATAACAGGATTCAGACTTTAAAATAATGGAGACTGCAGAGTTAAAACTGATGACAGAAGGGAATTTTCATAATTGTCTGAAAAAAGTTGATGACTGACATCAAAAGCTGATAATTAGAGAAAAGAACAGAATTGATGTTACATTACATTAGAATGTAATGTTACCTCACAAGCTACTGCTGTAGTATTGCTGGTAGGGATTGAATGCCATCCTTCATAACAAATACTACTGGTTTTGGAAAGACATAAAGTATTTGGCTAAACACTAGTCAGCACAGAATGCTACACAAAAAAAAATCTCCCTCAGCAAATGCGCTTGTTTTAGCTGTTCACACAGAAAACTGCCTGAATCTGCCTCTTAAACCAATAATGTAATGTAGCAGATTGGATGCAGAGTTCTCATAGACTTTCTTCTTGATGTCTGAACTTCATCCCAAACAGAAGCACTGGGTGACTCTTCTAGAAGTAACAACAGACAGACAGAATGGCCGTGTTTCTAAGCCCAGCCAAGGCAACCTATTGCCCAGAGCCTTAAGCCAACAATAAACAGTTCTGGACTGAACTACAGTAGTAGACTCTGGAAGGAGACTTTTGGTAGACTTGTGATGTAATATGGTCCCTTAAAACATAAACTGAACAAGGAAGAAATATTCTGTTACAGGGAAGATGTAGATGGGGAAAACCCGTATATGTATGAAAATTGCGGTACGTCAGTTCTTGATCACATCATCTTGCTCACCAACAGAATGTCAGTGTCTTGGTGTTGCAAAGAGAAATCTTAACCCTACACAGAGATCTCTATCTGTGTCTAGTGCTCACTGAAAGAAGCTGACTACTGGAAGGATTTTTAATCATTTGCAATATAGTAGAAGTATAGGAGAAGATCAATCAACAGTAATAAATGCCATCTGTGAGTTTCTGAGTAACTGCAGGGACTGATATAACAGAAATCCAGCTGCTGATGCATTTAATTTTCATTAGAAATCAATTTAACTTATTTTATGTTTTGCAGTGTAGCCTCATTCTGAGATCAGCATGTTCACTAAGTGGGTTTTTGTTCATCATAGCTATCTTACTGTTACTGCTGAGACTGGACTATTATACTACCTATGAAACAATCAGTTTTTTAAAAGATAAAAGGCTATTGCTCAATTATTTCTCTACAGCTGCCAGCAGGAGTCTCTTATTAATTAATTTGTTGCCAGTTACACTTTTTATCACTTTATTTCTTGTAATTTCTTCAGAAAATGATTTAAGAAGAGGAAAAGCAAGTATTACTCTTTTTATGCAGCTTAGATCCAGTTATCTATTTTTCTACCACTATACAGAAAGCAACTGACAAGTAATGCAGTAGTAAGAAACATAACACTAGAGAAATCGTATGTGCTTCACTTATGTCAGGTTAGGCCTATTTTGACCAATGAAACAGTTCCTTTGCTTTTGATGTTTGAGTAGTAGTGCATTTAGTTGAACAGAAGCAAAATCAAAACTCTCTCTGTGCTGCCTAGATCTCTTGCTTTTTTTTCCTCCTCTTAAAAAAGTGCCTCAAAACAGGAACTTTGTTCTTTACCTGCTCAAACATAAAGGCAAATTCCACGCTGTCTTTTGGGACGTTTTCGGTGTCCAGGAAGCAGTAGAGCTTGAAGTAGAACTTCCAGTGCATCTCCCCAGCTTCAGCAGTGGCAGCAAGCCTGCATCATTGTGTTAAGAGGGAGAGAGATCAGATCTGTGAAATTAAACTCTCTTCTAAATTACCACCTGTGGAATCTAAGCAAGGCATCAGCTGAACTTTGCTTTATGTGTGTCTGTTGTTAGAGCCTGCAACAAAATCAAGGACAAATGTTGACTCAGTTCTCAAGTCAACAGTTTCTCACCCATATTCTCTTAATAAATGTTGATTTTTAGGTAAGTCTAAAGGTGTTAATAAAAGCAACATTATTTAGTCCTGTTATAGAACTGCACAACACTTAAAACATTCTTTTTTTCTCTGTTTTTATGTGAATAAAGGGGGCTGATTGCTATGCATAAAAAGTAAGGATGACAAATGTATTTAGGCTTGTATTACGTTTTCCTACTACAGTGCTATGGGTGGTTTCAATTTAATGCTAAGAGAAATGTTGTGAGCTATACTGTGGTGACTTCCATGTGAAGTTAGATAACAGTCAGAATGGCAGTGACTGCCTTGAGGTCAGTTGTCACAGCCACGTTGACAGTAATGGTGGAAAAATTTGTAGTAGTGGAAAAGAAAATGTGGAAATAGTGATGAGAAATATTACTTAACTGGTGTCAGGACAAAGGAAAACCAACACAAGTGGAGAGGTGGTTGTTAAGTCTTTTAAGAAACTAAAAAAGAAATCCTTGTGTTCTATAAATGGCCCATGTGTAATTCAGCTGCATCATTACAAAAAAGCAAGTCAAAGAGAAGATTCAGCATTACTGACATTGGAAATTGATTTAATTGCTATTTATTATAGTGAAGAGAGGAGAGGTACACTCACTTTTCAAACTTTGCCAAGACATCAGCTACAATGGTTCTGCTTTCAATTGCTTTATCAGTAGTTCCATTGTACTCAAACAAAGCAAACATATTTCTGCTATCCTCCATGGCCAAGCCACGAATTAACTTTTCAACCACCTAATGAAAAACAGCACATGAAAAAAACACAGCATAGAAAAACAGTACCACAGAGTAAGACACTTAGAAAAAAAATAGAGCTAGGTTTTACATTAGGCTAAAAATGTTATTAACTTATCCTCCTCAGCATTATTAATTATCAAATTCCACTGTAATTTTTACTCTTTCAGAATAGATATGTGCTATCTCTTGGCCAGATATAGCCCCCTGTATTTCACCAACTCAGCAAGAGTCTTCCAGTTTTGTGAAGAAGCTTGGCTTTCATACACACCAATGTCTACTAAAGTTTCTCCAGTAATGCTCTCTGCCTAATTGCTTAGTCTTCCTGTAAGAAGGAACTACAGTTGGGTAATCCTCTGCAGCACAAAGTCAGTTTTTATGGCAGGGATTTCTCCAGAACATACTGTGGGGAGGGACAGCACTGTCAGCCTTTCCTTCCTGGAGAGACTGGCAGAGACCCCAGTGCTTCCAAAGTGTAACACTGCCTGGGACTGGCATGTAAAGGGACACACTGATTTTGTTCCAAAGACATTCTGTCACCACTTCTCACCTCTCCAGCTGTAGTGTGTGAGTTGATTGTAATCTTACAGGAGCCCCCACCATGGCAATAAACTGTGGATGTCATCTCCTGCCTGCCAATCAATGCTTCTATTTCATCTCGTGATGGCACAAACTCTCTGCATTTGGTTTTCCTCAGAGATTCGTAAGTAAAAAGTGCGTATTTCTCCATTTCAGTTCCTGGAAACTGGTCACGAACCCTGTGAGACAAAGCTTATTACTTTAAGCTGCCAGGCTGTGAAGTTTGCTTATTTTTTCCCACTGAGAGTATTTCTGTATCCAGAAATCCACTATTTAATTCACATACTCAAAGTACAGACAAAGCTTTTAAATGATTGAGTTTGCTGGTGGACTAACTTTCCTAATAACAAACTCTGCATTCCTTCATTGCATCACAACAAGAGGAACTCCACATTCTGGTTAATGTGGAACTGTCAACAATGATTTATTATTATTTAATGTTCACTAATACTTTAAAATCAGATTTGCAATCATAGGTTTGTACCACAAATACATCTTTAATTATGACACTGTTCTTTTACATGCATGATGCATATCTCATAAAATAAGGTAAACAGATGAAGAATTTTTAACAGGTTGGTTTGGACAGTTGAGAATGGCACATGGGGATATGGGCTGAAAGTCATTTAAATTTATACAGTTACCAGAAGCGCCCCTTTTGCCAACATTACCAAACTGTTGATTCAACTCTGTGGCATTTTGCATGATTCTTCAAGAGTGTGTAATTCCATCCAGACCAGCTCACACACACTTTTCCTATAACATTTTCTTTTTAGATTCACTGTTTGGCATGTCACATTGGCTAAGTGAATACATCTTTAAGTCTCACTTCTAGATATCTAAACACTATTACAAGTTGTGGTGCTTTAGTAGATCAAAGGTTCTCACCTTTTGAGATGAAACTTGAGATATTTGAGGATGCTGCGACTGGGCAGAAATGTGCAACTCATGCAGGTAAGTATTTGCCAGCTATAGAGGTTCCCCACGCTCCCAGGGTTAGGCACTTTATTGGTTTGCTTGATGAGCTGACAGTAGAGCTCATCTCGGAGAGGTCGTAAATCATGTCCTGTTTGGAGGATACCTTGGATTATAGGGATGGGATCAGACATAGACTCCAGCTGCTGTAAAGAATTAAATATCTTGATGGCTTCATCCTGAAGAGTTGTGTAGCCTTTGTCTTTCAGCACTATGAAAGAAATATTAGGAGAAACGTGCATAGACTGAGATATGAAAGAAACAGCATTTAACGTGGAAATTGCTTAATGCTACTCTGTGACCCTTGTTATGCAGGATACTAGAATCTCTATTTTCCATTTCAAATGTATGATTCAAACTCATTTTATGAGCTAATTTTCTATTGAGATTTATTCCAAATTTAATAAATGAAAAGGTGTATTTTGATTGATTGTTTTTTGTGATGGAGAGTTTTTCTCTCAGAGCAAGTCACACTGCAGAAGTGCCATATCACACTCCACAGTAACCTCCTACCCTCCTCCCAAGGATGAACCTTGTGTAATATCTTGTTTAATATGCAGTTGCAAACTAAGGTAACCAAATCCTTTTTAAGGACACTAAGTTCACAATCATCAATAGCTCTGAACCACTCATTCAAAAGAGACTTCTAAATTAGTGTTGGAATCAAGAAGATTAAAAGAGATGATTACACTAATTTCAGGACTAAACAAAGCATTACTTTTTAAAACCATGTACAATCATAAATGTTATTTCCCATAAATAAGGCTTCCTATCCCATCTGATAAAACATACACCTGTCAATTGGAAGCTGTGGCTGTTGCACCTTCCCACATGGGGTAGGAAGCAACAATAATATGAGGGGGAGAATATGATTCAAGGAGACTGAGTGAATCAGGTTAAGTTGCTTACTTCAGTGCAAGACTTTCCAAACTCAGTCTTCTTAGCTGTATTGCTGACAGCAATAGCAACCTTCCCTTCTGTAACATTCTTGTAGGAACACTGCAAGCGCATGGCTCTATGCAAGGCAAACTGCTATTCTCAAAAGAGAACAGAGAAACTTGTCTATTTGTACTAACAACATGTATTTTGCCACCATTACTTCATTTTAGACTTAAAAATTCTATCCTCTGTTTTAGTCTTTCATAAGGAAAAGTGGCTCTATTATTGGAAAACTTACAGTTTAGATTGATGTCCCCATATGGCAGTGGTAGTAAAGGTGAGTGCAATGGATGATGAGTGTAACGGAGAATAGGATTCCTCTTATAAATCTGTTCAACGACATCAGCATTTAGGCAGTTTTCCTATTGGGGTAAGAAAAAAACAGGATTTGGGGTCCAGCTTTAAGAATAATGCAATGCTTTGTGCCCTTAAGTTGGTTATAAAAACTGAGCAATCAGTGTAACCAACAGTATTTGGTGCGAAATCCAGTTGTGAATGCTGTGGCTGCCATGGCATGCTGTGGGCTATGAATGCTCAGTACCTGCTAACCTCAGGCCTTGGATAGGCTCACTTTATCTGTGCAGTAAGAAAACCAAACTACAGCAGAACTGCAGGACACCAAAATGAAGTACCATAACAATTTTTGAAGTGTGTTTTCATTTTATATTAATTTTACTCCAATAATTCATAATGGGAAATATGACATCTGTATTCAAGTTTAATTTAAAAGTATTTCTCCAGCATAACTAATTGGCCTTTCAGTTAAAAACTGCACCAGCTACCAAACAAAATAGTCCAAAGTGCTGCTGTAAACCTGGTGCATCCACTCTGACATCCAAATACTGCTCTTACTGTTCTTCTTAGGCCAAGTTTGACACGTCTGATTACTGCCTTCTATCAGTCCTGAATTCCATATATTTCTCCTGCTCTGAAGAATAGCATTCATAATCTTGGAACCGAGAACTTAATACCTCTTTTCCATGAGGGAAGAGGTGTTTTCTCTAAGGGAAAAGATCAGTAGCAGTTCTCCCCTCTTGCCTATTTCTTGGGTCTCTTGTGAGAATCATACTCCTCTCTCATAAATGCACATCAGCAAAAATCTCCAGAAGGACATTCTCTGGCTGTGCATGCACTGTCCCCAATGAGATCATAAAACAGTAAGCAAAAATTGAACGTTTTTCTCATCACACAGAGATATGAGATGCTTAGCCCATGCTACCATAAAAAAAAAAAGGACCATAATGACAAAAAAAAAAAGAGTCAGAAGAACTGTTTAGTCCAAATCCTGGTGTGTTGCTCACTGTGGACTGAGCCAAACATGTCAGGTAACTCATGAACCTGCACAATGTGCTCTATTGCCAGGTGTAGCCATGTCTGTCAAGTTACACAAACCAGTAAAACTTGTTACTGTTTTAATGGAAAAAAGTTATCCCTCCTGCCCTCCAAGCTGCACTTCAAAGTTTGCTCTTCTGCTGTTTAGACAGAAATTCCTTTATCAGGTCAGAGAATACATTCAGGTTTCAGAATTTTAGTCCATGTCACTGTATAATTAAAACATAATTTTCTGCTTTATTACCCAGTATAGCAAAGCCAAAATAAAGATTTAAGGAACCATTCTTACTCACCCCACGCCATCCTACTTGTGCCTACCTTAATATCCTGAATAAGCTGCTGAGTTGGAGTATCAATGGGTGCCTTTGTGTCAATCACATTCTGGATGGCACTTGACCAGCGGGTTGCCTCATTAAGCAATTTCGTATAGAGACGGTAACAGTGCTTGCGTCCATACACGGTCACATTCCAGTAACCTGGCACAACAGCAAAACTGGTCATCAGACAAGCAGACACCCACTGCTGCATCCCAGACCATGCTGGCAGCCTTTCAGGAGCTAAAGTTGTGCGAGTTACTAAATATCATAATAAAGATACTGTGGTATTAAAGGGGATTTTCTCCTGTAAAGAAACCTAGGAGTACCCTCAGACTACAAAAATGCATCATACAGCCCCCTGCTTTACCCAGTAATCTTAGTAAAAATCACTGTAAGACAACACTGTTAAATACTGTGGAATACTCTTAGGTCCTTGTAGCTTGTGGGCCCTACTTCTCCAGTCCTGTCTGTAACAGGAAAATCTGAGACAGATTTGCTTTGTACACGAGAGCCTTTCATAGTCTGTGGCACATGCACAAACAGACATAAAGCACAAACTACCTCCTCTGTCTTTAATTTTCCACCAGTGAAGTGGAAACTATGAAAGGAAGAGCATTTCAGTTCAAATTCTCTCTCTGCATCATTGTATAGGCTTTTTCTGAAACACATTCAGTAAAAGGAAATGTGTTTCATCTTTCTCTAGTGAAAGCCTCTTTGAAGTGTCAGTGACCCTAATGAGATGACAGGACTGTCAACAGTTGCTTCTCATTTGCAAACAGACGCTTCTGAGTTGAAAACCAGTTCTGAAAGTGAACAGTGGAGCTGACTCAGGTGCAGTATTTGTAGTTTACCACAAACTGGACTCCTGCTCTGCATCTCTCCCTATACCTGCTCCAATACTGGCCCTCATAGTTCCTCAGCACATAAAATAATGTATGAGGAGAGTGCTACCCATGTCTTTCCCCAGGTCTTTGACGTGTGAGCACAAGCATTCACACTAACTTGGCAGCAGTGTCAGTCTGTGAAAATTTGAATGTTGGTGAGAACAAATTTTACTCCTCTATATATTACCTTTGTTTTTCATCCAGTAATTCCCTGTAGAACACTTCAGTTAAATGGGAACTGATTTGTTCATGGAACTGCACCCATAATAATCCATTTAAAATATTCTTATGCATTGTTTTAAGTATAATAGTATGTCATTACTAGCTAGAAAGACAGAAGGCATACTTGAACAAGAGCAAAGAATTACCCGTCTCTTTGAAGATTTTTTCATCAGGTGGGACCACTGAGCAGAGGCTGTTCAGGACCAGTGTACCCAATTTCAAAGCATTTTTCTCTGAACTCTTGTAGTAGTCCAAAGAATTGTGCGTCAAAACAAACCAACGCTTCTTTAGTTTTAATGAGGACATCTTTGGGTTGTTCTTGACTTCCTTGTGTAGCCACCCTGTTAAAGACACAATTTGAATCACACCTCTTTTTCTTGAGCAGAGTTAGACAAAAGTAGGTTGCTAAAAGTTAGTTGTATATTTTCAACAACAACAACAAAAACATTGTGTGAATTGATAAGTTCACGTATGAAACAATATCAAGTAAAATTCTCAAACAATGAAATTATAAAGATAATATGAATACCTTTCAATTTTGATGTTTCACTAGAAGAATTAACTCATCAACTTATGAAAACACTTTTGTCATCGTTACAATGTTTTCTTACATAGCACAGCAAGAATATAATTTCAGAATATAATTAATTTAAATGTATTAATTTGTGAGTAAAGTCCACCTCACAAAGATGAGGCTGCAACACTAATCATGTTGGCATATTATCCACATTGTATTGTGGGAACAATCTCTTCAAAGCATAACAGATGTTATTTACTTTTTACTGCCCCACTCAGTTCTTACCCCTCACAATGAATTCTTGTCCCTCCACTCTAGTGTCCCCCTTTGACCTCTGGAGCAGGGTTATCCAGTGATGCATCTCTTCAGGAGTGTCAGCATTACAGTGAAGAACACGATTAGCAGTGATGATCACAAATGAATTTGGTCTATGAAAATAAACAACAATTGAAACAGCCTTTATAACCAGCATACATACTGTTTACCTCACCCCCCCATAACCATAAAAATTGTTTATTGTTTACATTTTCTATGACAAATACCGTCCACCTTTAATGCATTATTAGTTATCAACTAAAGAAAAAAATACTAAGCATTTGAAAAGACTCAGTGATGTGACATTCACACCAAAATGCAAGGGGGATGGTGGGGAAGTTTACATTAGAGTGCCATATCTCACAATAAATCTGTGGTGAGAAAAACTTCCGAACTTTAATCAGCTTTGCATGTGAATCAGAACTGTTTCAGGGTCAGATCTATTTAGAGTGTCTGCTTCAGTTGGTAGCTACATTAGCTAAAACAAGCAACAGTATACAAAGGTCTATAGTAGAGCAGCGTGTGAACATGGATTCTTTTATTTTTAATGCAGTGCAACCCAATTCACAGAGAATACAATCTATTTTTAATGAGAGCCTGGCTTTTACCCAATCCTACACCAGGATTCACTGAAGCATGAAGAACAAGCCAAGAGAAGTGTGCTGATGCTCTCTGGATCAGACAGGCAGGTTCCTCAGCCTACAATGCTTGCTTTAACCCTTTACCATTCCTTTTTTCATCTGGAGCAAACTCCCAAAACATAACATAAATTTCCCCAAAAAGACAAAAAAATCTATGTGAAAAATGGTTACAAGAGAAATGCTTAAATTATTGCATTAATTTAATGCAGGAGAAACAATAATTTAAAACTGTGAAACCTCTGGATATTTGTGTTGTATTGTTTATCAAGCCTGGGCTTGTAAACTCACTGTTACTTCTGGTATCAGTGTTTTGCAGGCCAAGGACAAAGCACTAATTTAGCACCAGTTGTTTTACACATGTACACAAAGAGGAGAAACTGGAGTGAGCCCCTACAGTTCAAATAACACCTCACATCCAGTAACTTTATAAACCAGTCATAGTCTGAATCCAGATTACTTTTTATTTCCCTAAACACCATTAGTTCTTCAAGAACTAAGAATAACCTGACATTTTTGTTGTTTTTATGCTGCACTGTATTCTTTGTTATAAGACATTTTTATTCTGGAGAAATAATTTTCATTCCTGAAGAATACAACATTCATGAAGGAGAATCTGAACAGAAAAACAAATTAAATTTTCTGCCTAGTACATTACTAAGGAACTGAAAAATAAGCTGTTTGTTTAGTTTTTTTTTTCAGGAGCATTAGTTGTATGAATGAAAGAAATGTCTAATCTTCCAGTTTTGGATCACTTTAGGAGCTGAAGAGTTCAGGCATGAAGCAGTGTCATGAAAATTATTGAAGCCCCCTCAAAATACACCATCATTCCTAGTCCATGTTTTAACATGTGCTGTTTAGTGCTATGAAAAGGGAGGCAATAATGAAATCATTTTAATACATGGTTGGCCAGTAGAATATAGAGACTAAAGCATAAAGTGTCTGATTTTGGCTAGAGATGGGAGAAAAAGAAAGTCCCCAGGCATGGTTCTGACTTACCTGTCCGGATTGTCAGCAGCACAGACAGAATCAATTAGTCCTACATCGAGTGTTCCCTATAAACAAACAGCCAACCAGAAAATGAGGCAGACATTCACTATTACATTACTCACAGTACTCTTCTGAGCAGCAGGAGAAAGAAGCAGCAGCTTTGATCAAACAAAATGAACTGCAGGTTTGGGCATCAGTTTTTCTTAACCATTAAAACTGCTCAGGGGAAAACTAAGAGACTTGGATGAACAGATCCAGTAAAAGATTATGTGTAGTACCAGTGGATGTTGTACAGACTGGTAAATGCAGGATCAGGCAAATCACAAATTTTTAAATTTTGGGTTTTTAATTTACTCATTAACAGTATCTTTGCAAAATTTCAAAATCAAGCATACACTATGATGTGACAGGGAAGTGGATCAGAAAAAAACAACCCCCAAAACCAACAGTCATTTTTCATCAAGGTGAATGATGGGAGAGGAATCACTAGTTACACTCCTTGTACAGCTACGGGACCAAGGACATGGAAACTCTAGCCAGTGTCACAGCTACCACCAGAGTAGGTTGTGACTCTCAGAAGTTGTGGCCATCACAATGCCCCTGTTTCTAAAAAAATTTGGTTTGAAAAGTTCTTGGGATTTACTTACCACAGCATTCTGTGGATTTGCCTGCTCGTCATGCATCTCCCGGATCTCTTGCTCTGTGGATGCATGGACTTGACTCAGTACACTGAACCACTGGCTGGGGAGAGAAAGGAAGCAGTGTAAGTAAAATTTTGGCTCTGCATAAGCCTTTTGTCACCTTTGTTCTGCAGAGATCTAGCAGGTTCTGCAGGTTTCTGAAATTGCTTAAGATTCCCTTTGTCAACAGGCATAAAAGCAGAAAGGCTTTATGTCAGTTCAAGTAACACTGGGTGCAAGCAAGCCCCTCCAGATCTCCCATCCGACCTTGTGTCATGCCCTTCCTCATGACAAAAAGTACCTTGTACACTAAGTGGCATCTCTGCCTTAAGCCCACTGAAACATCTGAGTGTTTGGAGAGTCTTTGTAACAGATTCCACATGCTTCATCTGGAATAAAATAAATTGCCAGCTACACACAAAGCCTTTAATGGGAACCCCAAACTTCAGATTATAAATTGTGCTGCACTGATAGTAATTTCTTACAGTGATACTTCTGCAGAGACCACCCAAGTCCACTGAGTCCTCTGTAGAAGCACAACTGTGTGGAAGCACAAAAACCCCCAAGAAAATACCTCTACAATTTTTGTTCCCTATGGAGCACTGAAAAATCCAGCTGCTGGAAGTATGAGCAAATTTGTGCCACTCCACTGGCACTGTATAGATCCACAACAGGAAAAGTGGCAGGGAGGTTTCCAGTGGTTCAGCCCCTAGTTCTGAGCAGCAATTGCAGATGGATTTTATTCCAACCACACCTTCTGCTTCTGGGAAACCTCTATCCTCCTGGCACTTGTATATGATAAAGCTCAACTGCTCTAAGGAATCCCACTGAAATCTAAGGGCAGAGCTTGGCCTGTTCAACAGGTTCCTGAATGCCATTCTTTGAGATATGAATTTGCCATTCTAATGAAAACCACCCGGGGCCAAGTTTTCAAAGGGCTAAAAAGTCCAGCCTTTAAAACAGACTCCTCACTTTCCTGCAGAGACTCCCCTGCCACCACGGGGTTGAGGAAACACTCAACCTACTGCAAAACTATTGGACTTAAATATGAAGTTATCTTTTCTGTAATCACTTTTAGTCACAGATTTTTTGCCTAGGACACTGAAGAGCTGCCTCCTTAACTCCAGCATTCAGAAGCCAACTGTTCCCTCAAAATGTATAATTCTGGAAACTGAACTGCTAAAATAGCTTGAGAAAAACTGTGTAGGCTGTCAAACAGTACCATCACTGCCATATCCTAAATTCTTTTTATTGGCTCATGCTTTTATTAGAAACAGTGCAAGCAATGAAGAAAAACAAAGATTGAGAGTGCCAGACCATAAAGCAGATGAGAACATATTTAGTTCTGATTTGTTTTTTAAGACTCAGAGACACCCACAGAGAAGTTCTATTTAACACTTTGCTGGATGTAAGGCAATGCCACAAAAAACAGCAGAGAAGCTGTCATCTAGAGAGGAGGAACCACCAGCAGAAGAAAAGCTGAAACTGAAGTAAAGAAAGTGAAGAAAACTAAGCCTCACCTACCAAAATATTCCTACAAATTAAATTCAGCTTCTCTTTCTGGGCTCAGGAATTGCAAATGTATTTAAAGTGAAACTTCTATTTCAATACAAAAGACTTCATAGCACTGTATACACATCTAGTGATAATTTATGGGTGGATTTTAAAGAACAATTCAGAGTTTTCCTGATTTCATTTAATCTTTGTGTAAACAGTGAAAATGAAATGAATCATGGCACTTTGCAAAAGACAAAGACAGACTTTATTTTTGCTTTCTTCCCTCTCAGGACCTCCTTTGTTTTTCAGCTAAGTCCCAGAGCACAGAAATGGGGAAAAAGGTTAGGGATTTGAAAGGAACAAGTCCTCAGCAGTGGCTGCCCATTGAAGCATTACTTCTTCAATAACAGTAACTCCTCTTCTGGAGACTTGTGCCATGTTTTTCTTAGTTTTGTACTTAATTTGAACAAAGAGCAACCTCAGATCCTGATCTAGTCCAGGTACAAAATATTTTTTCAATAGCAGATGTGGACCAAGCACAGCCCGATATTCACTTTTCACAGTGTTTCGTTAATGAGGCTTTGACTCATGCCCATCTGCAAATCCTTACACATCTTCCTCATTTAGTCTTCTGGGATGAGTGAGAAAAAAGAAACAGGAAATACACTGATAAAAGGTAATTCAATCTGGATGGTTGTTGTTCCTCTTGTACACAGCAAAAATGTACAGTGTCTCCTCCATCTTTAAGAACGAAATTAAGGAGATGGATGGCAACAGATGAGTCTGTGTGCTGGTAATTGCTTATTGGTCCCTAGGGCACACACACAAGTCAGGTAGAAGAGACTTTAGCTAAGACTTCATTTTAAAATATGCTTACATCCCAAAATAATCTTAACAGTAACTGCTAGAAAGCTCCTAAATTATTTCAAGAATAACTTCAACGATACCTAAAAAAATGAGGATGGATTTTGCATTGGTACATTTACATCTGTACTCAGGGTCCTGTGATATAGGAAGGCATTCTACCTTTGCAAAGAACAGAATATGGAAGAACTTTTGAGGCTTCTGCACAAAGTAGCTCAAGTGATGTTGACAAAGGCATGCTGTATTCTGGCCTTGGGGCAGCAAGGCAATGGGTAATAAGCTCTGATTACTAAGTTAACTTTATTTAAATGCTTGATTTTTATAGGCAAGCATATTATTATCTTGCATGAACTGTAGCATGTTGTTTTTTTTTAAAAAAAAAAAAATGCTCTACAACTGATCTGACAAGTCAGACTTGCTTCTCACCCACCTGCCTCCCCCATGGTTAGATATGGATCCTTTAGCAACAAAAGTAAGACCCTTTTAAAATATGCAGAAAGGGAAGCACTCTCTTACACACTCCTCTTACATGAATACAGTTTTGCTCTAAAATACAATGCACTATAACTTCTACCTGAAAAAATTTTAGGTTCTGCTTAAACAAGCAGATCCCACCCCTAAGAACAAAGTGCTTCATTTCAGGCAGACAGACTACAGGGTCTCAAATAGTGATTTGATCAATGCATCTAAACAGAGCAGGCTAATCCACAAGCCAGCATCCGTGGCTAATGACTGCTTGTCTACAGATAAATTGTATTTCAGAAAGTTCCTAGTAATACAAGGGTAGCAGCCAAATTCCAGGCAAATTTTTATTGGCTATCTGACTCTTCCCAGTAATTGTCTGCCACAAAGTTTTCTCCTTAGCAAGTCCTTCAAAAAGTGTGTTAAATGCAACGTGTTTAACAGAGCCTGATTACTTCGTGACACTGGTCAAACAAATTAGTGACAAGCCAAAGTCAGAATGGCATAGAAGTTAAAAAGGAAATGAAAAGGAAAAGAAGATAGGCCTGATGATTTTCATACCTTGCATCCTCAGGAGATTCAGCAATTAAGTGGTAGGTTCTATCACTCATTATTAGATCAATACCATTTTCTTTGCCTGTGTTATCAACAATCTCTCTGAAAAAAAGGGAAACACCAAGACTGAGCATTACAGATTAACCACATTTTGAAAATTCTGTTCTGCTGAGAAGCTCACAAACTACTGATACTTAAAACAGCAAGTCAGTCTTCATTAGGTTCATTTGCAAAACTCACAACATGATTTATCAGATCCAGTATTTGTCATTTGCCAAATGACAGCTGTGTTTTCTGCCTACATAGTACAAATACTCAAACTACTATGAGTGTCACTATACCAAAGTGACCATTCTGTTACCATTTTACCAAGAACTAAAGAAAAAGCAAAGCATTATCAAACTCCAAGAGAGGAAAAGATAACTGAGTTAAGAAATGGATGTATTTCTGAACTGACTGCATAACCAAGTGATGTTTGGAATCCTGAAAAGAAAGCTGTTGAAGATTGAAAACTGAAAACAAACAAAACCTGGATTAGTGATTCTGTGTGGTTGTGAGTCAGCATAAAGACAATTCCAAACATGACTTCTGGAAAAAGCTGAGAGCACTCATCTGATGAAAAATTACATATTTTTAATTTTTAGTTTGGACATCTAAATACTGATAAAAAAACAACTGTGAAGACTTTAGCAATAATTAAAGAATGACATTAGATTTCACTGTAACTTAAGAAATTAACTTATTTTCCTTTTTGCTGTTTTGCTGTATTTGTCTGAAGCTTACTATTTCCTTAAGTGGCTATATTTCCTTATCAGCTATACTATTATTATAAATCTCAGTCCTATAAATAATATATACAAGCTCTGCATATCTGACTCATGAGGATGATCTATCTTCTATCAATACAAAAAGCTGTATTTTTGTACTGTTTGATTCCTTCACTCTCTGTAACAGTGTCCAATAGAATACCTCCCTGTTCTGTATTTTAAGTGAATCAGCCTGAGATTTTTTTCTATTGAACAGGTTCCCTAATAGAGAGTGGTGAAATATGTGAGTTGCACTATAGATTAGGAATGCACTTGGTAAATATTAACATTATCTAGAAAAGCTATTGTTTATTTCTTATGAAACACAGGTCTTTAAATGCATGTACCCTTTCTTTTAGCTAATTTATACACAAAGTCATTGATTGAACCTACAGTGCAATCTAGGTTCAGTAACCTTTGTCTGACAATTTTAAAGGTACGTGCTGTAAAGAAGGTCTATAGGGCACAACCAATGAAACACTGAGGTAACAACAACAAAAAAGAATGATTGATGGAATAGATTAGAAAATTATGCTAAATAAATGCTCTGGTACATGAGACAGAGTCAAATCTAGTTTTAACAAAAAAAATATGGTAGGTTCTTCAGCTTCTATTCAGAGATTTACTTGACTGCCAGCAGCCCATTGGTCTTTTAGGAGCAAGTCAGGATTCTCACTGAAACTCTTTTCTGTCCTACTTGAAATCAGGCTTAAGCCAGTACTGCCAAAGAAAAGATTAATCATAGATTTCAATTTAGTTTAAGGTCTCTGTTAAACTAACAAACAAATTGGATAGCTGCAGATTACAAGACACAGAGTGGAACTGAGTGTTACTAACCATTTCTGGTTCTCTCTGATTTGGATGAAAGCTTAGGCACACTTTATAGAGAAAAGAGACAACTAATGTTAGCACACTAATTTTTAAATTAGGTAGATAATCCTAAATTGTTTAGAAGGAAAAATACCATCCAGTAGAAAATTTCTGCATGCTTCAGGAAATGTAAAGTTCTTAGGCTTAAGGAACTTCAGTTAACAAGGCATAAGTTATTAGGTTTAGTAATCTTGTTTTTTTTTTAATGAATATATGCATTTTAAAGACTTTTCTACACTACCACAATTATTTAAAGCATGAAAAAGAAAATCTAAATACATACAGAAGATTTAACTTTGACCCATGCGAACTTCAATATACTCGGGGACTATTAATTCCACCCTCTTCATTCTGGGTTTGCCTGCAGCTACAGACTTGGCAACATGCCCCAAATTGCCTTGGAAATCATTACAGACAAAGTAGGGGCTCTAGTCTGGGAGAAAGCATAGATGGGTTCATTACAGCAGCATTTTTCTGAAGTATTTGGCACTGGCTTAGCTCTGGAGCTCTCTCTAGACTTAAGAGAGAGCCAACTAAGGAAAGCACTTGCTTTCACTAACTTCACCACACACACCCTCCTGCTTGCATTCACACAGTTTGTAGGCAGGGCACTCTGTTTTCCCAGACTGAGCTCCAAGTACTACTTAGAAGGAACCATGGCTAACATAAAACCATGTAAACCTACTTGGCAGTTCGGACATCCATGGCACCCTTCAGCTTTTCTTCACTGTCATTTTCAAAGTACATCAACCTGGACTGTCTGAGAACAAACCATCTTTTCTTCCAGTTCCTTCTGGAAAGCGTAGATGATCCACCCCCCTTTTTGTGAAGCCAACCCTGCTTAAGTGCTTCCTGTTTAGAACGAAACCACAGGAAGGTCTCATCTTTCAGGACACACCAGCGTCGTTTCCACGTGTTGATTAAGCCACCTGGCAAGAGAGACAAATGTGGGTTTATATGCAGTTAAAACAAACAACTATATCATAAAAGAGATGCTGTGAACAGTACCAAAATTGGAAGGTGCTGACGAACAACACTGCAGTTAAACTGAGTCTCTGCTGTAAGCCGCAAAGGCCACCAATATTATTGTCAATCTAAATTATAAATTATCAATTATAAATTGTAGTAAATCTCTGCATTACAAAAATATAAGTAACGTACATATAATTTCATGTACATATACATAACATACCTATAATTATAAATTACTGAAAAGTCTTGCTGCACATGAGAATCTGATCTTTAAGACAGCTTTCAATGTATTTCAATGATAATCTAAAAAAAATAGTGTTAAGCTCTTTCCTCTCTCCAGGTTATTAGGTAACATTGTTTAATACAAAACCACAAAACCCGACTGTGTTTAGAGTAGGAAATAAACCGGTGTGAGCTCAGTCACACCAAAGTGTGGCCACAGAGCAGGCCATGCACCCTGCACTGGAGTTACATCACAGTCATAAAAACCTTAACCAAACCAACATGCTCTTGTCATCCCACAAAAACTGACTGCTAGCTCTGTCAGAAAGTAAAAGCCATGCTACTGTCAACTGCATTATTTTCCACACAAACGTTGTGGTGTGTACACTTATCACTGCTCCTATACCTAAATAAGGTATACTACAGTCATGAAATCATACAAGGATTCAGCTAGATTACAATTTGCTACGAAGATAAACCCAAGAATTTTAAGCAGAGAACTCCTGTGTATATTCTTACAGAGTCCCTCACATCCCTTTGCTACATGTAACCTTGTTCATGTCTTCCAGATCCAAGGTGAAATTTGACTAAGGTCAGTAATATTGGTCTGCAATGTAGAATGTTGTCTATGTTACAAGGTTTTGAGAGCAGGAATCAGCTTTCCTCAAAATTCAGTATAATTTACTTGGTGAGTTATTTTACTCTACACTGAATATTTCATTGTTTGCGAGCCAGCAAACATGTAAGATGAAACAGAGGCAACCCAAAATATTAATGTTTTTCTGCAGAGGGAAACACATTGCTAGATGTAAGCCACTGCACGTAACTTAATTTGAGAACAGCTCAAATTAAATAAAATCACCCTTTGTAAATTAGGAAAACAGCTTAACTCTACAGGAATTGTTAAGTCTCATGTTAAAGTAAACAATAAATATTTCTGGTTACTTTATGTATTTAGCAAATTGATTCATCCAGTACCTTTCATGTACAGAAAACTATGAAAGTAGGGCAGGCTGACACAGCTATAGACTGAATCCCTCCGGTAGGAAAGTTCATCATCCGTATCAAACCTGGAATCAAAATCTTCTTCACTGTCTTCAAACTACACAAGAAAGGAAAGAAAGGTCATAGTATCTCAGGAAAAAGTTTAGATCAAGTCATTTTAGAAGACTCTACCTAAAGCATTTTGTCATGCATTGGAAGGACATGATTCCTCATTGGTTTTCATCCAGCTAACAAAGGAAGGAGTACATCGTAGTAAGTTGCAGCTTAAACTGTTTGATTACACAACAAATCTGTGTAGAAGCTTTGTAGATGCTCAGGAAGAGCAAGCTCCCTTTGCAAGAGTATGGTCAGGGTAATTACCTTGTTCTACTTGCCCCTGTCACTGAAGTGCTGTGGGGAAGAGTTTAAAAAAGTATTGAGAAAGAAACATTGCACAAGGTGTTGCACTAGCTGTCCCTCACCCTAGAAAGTCAGAATTTCTGTTCTGTGTCTGACACACATCCAGAGTCATGCACCAGGAAGGCATCCTCAACAGAGGCACTGAAAGCGTTTTTTCCTCAGGCAAGAACTGTCAAATTATTCCAACAACCACAACAACTCTTGGACTGCTTATCACTGCCTCAAATGTAGATATTATATCATTAAAGTTTTCATTCTAAACAAGTGAGTGTTCCTGAAATACCTTTTGACTTTCCCAGTCAGACAGTCTCACAGAAACACTGGGTGGTAGAGGAAATAATGTTCTTTCAAAAGTATTTGTAGAAGGATATTCCACAGTATACTCAGTAAACAGCACTGAAAATTTTCTCTGCAGAATGTTTGTCTGCCTCAATAACTTAAACATTTTCCATTGCATGAACTTTACTCTTCAAATAACCTCAGATTATACACCTGGCATGTCAGGGACTTCTGCAAGCATTTATTCTTCAATACTCTTGCAACTTGCACACATAACTAAATTTGGCTTTCCTGAAATCAGTTCCCCAACATGCTACCTGGTACCCCAATTCCAAACACACACACAGAGAACTTCACTGTGCACTGAGCTCCTCACCGAGTAACACACAGTGCCGCATTAAAGCACTTAAAACCATATCTGTGCAGAGAGCAAACAGCATCTGAGCTGCCTCTGACTCTAATGCACTCAACTCGGTGACATCTAGATGGCAACAGACCACTATTTCCATAGGTGCCCTGAGCAAATCAAGCTGCACAATGTTTTCTCAAAACAGCTACAGTGAGTCTACAGCTGCACAGCAGGGAAAAAAAATAATCAGAAAGCATCTATCACTTACTAGATAATAAAAATATTGCTACTTACAGAAGACTGAGCTCCCTCAGAGCTGAACCGGTATGCTCCAGAGCTATTGTACGTCCCCACTGAGCACCGGTAGTCTGGTGACCACTGGCTACTGTGTGAGTTAGAGAAGGTCACACTGCTGCCAGAGGTGATAGCACCATCTTCATAATCGTCCTGGTCGTAATCATAGTCTCCGTCGGGAGAAATGACTTCCCCAGAATCGGGGGGTCTGCAGGATACGTTTTCTGGCATGCAGTACGTGGATTCGCCGCTCGAAGAGTTGTGGAGACTCACTGTGTCATGGCCAGGAGGTAAGACCATGGTGTCGCTGGCAGCAGGAATTGTTGGCACCACGGTATCATTCATATAAGGATCTTCTTCTGAGGAATCATCGCTTGTTCTGATGCCACTGGTCCTTTGATCAGAATGGCCATGCTCACTTGGGTTGGGTGAATCTTTAAATGCATCATCATCGGCTTCAAAGCCCTCATCTACCTCCTCCTCAGGATATGGCTGGCTGAAGTTAAAATTGGGCTTTTCACTGCAGGCATTTCCAGTCTGTTCAGCCAGCTCAGCAGGATACCCACTGCCCACAGAGAGAGACCTCTCAATGTTTCGGACACATTCGTCAATCTCATCGAAGTTCAGAGATTCCAGGAACTCCTGGGCTGCTCGACAGGCTTCATCCTCAAGCCGCCGGAGCTCCTCATCTCGACGCTGCTGCAGCCTCTGTAATGAAGCCTCTGTCAAGGACAGCTCCTGCTGCTTCTTCACGCGCTGCAGGTCTTCGATTTCTTTTTCCAGACGCAGGATTTCTTCCACCTGCCTGCTTTCTTTCTGCTTCTCCACCTCCTGCTTCAGCTCTGCCTCCTTCTGAGCTTTCTGAATGGCAGCCAGTTCCTGCTTCTTTCTCTCTTCTTCAGCCTGTAGAAAAGTAAAATGAAACAAAATAAAATCAAGTTAGGCCCCTAAATGCAAACTTCTTTTTTAAAATTTATTTCTAAAGCTCTATACTCCACCATGCTTATTCGTTTAAAAAGAGCCCTATCTTCATATCAGCAAGAAACGAAAAGGAAAGAAAAAGAAAAAAATTAAAGCATTATTACATTTGCTCAGAGATAGCTGAGCAAAAGAAGTCCAAGTATGTGCAGAAAATTCAGTCTTTGCCGGAAATTAAATGAAGCATCAGGTGAAAGAAATTTCCATGCAAACTATATTGAGTTTCCTTTGGCTTTATCTGCCAGCTCCTGTAATTATTTTAGTTTTAATGCTACAGGTACCTTTTATTTTTTTAATTGCTGGGTTGAGATACTCAAATAAATAGGTGGCTGAAAGCATTAAGAATATAATTTACCTGCTGGGCAAGACGCTCTGCTTCTTGCCTTTGTCTTTCCCTAAAAGTGAGTGAAGAAAAAAAGTCAGTCAATTAAGCTCCACACAAGCTCATCACATTCCTTTGCTATGGCAATAGCTCAGCTTACAGAGATCATCTGCCACCTGGAAAAGACAGCCAAAAATAAGATCACAACGAATTTGTTTGTGAATATGAAACTACCATGATAGCTGTATGAGTCTTTTAGCAAAAGCAGCAAAGGTTTCCAAAGTCAATTGTTCAAGAATAGCCTGAAATAAAGGTTTTCAGACCAACACCTAATATGGCACAGGCAGGAGAGTGATGTAAGCCAAAGACTGCACCTTTCTTCCTCCTCTTTTCTTCTTTCCTCCTCTTGTTTTCGCTTCTCCTCCAGTCGTTCCTTGTAAAGACGCCGAGCAAGCTGGCCTCGCCGCTGCTTCTGAAGGACTGTGGCTGCTTTCTTCAGGCACAGGAACCTCTTCCTACCGCTGAATGCTCTGTAGTTCTTCTGTATCACAACCACGTAGTAGAGAACCTTCCTGTACCGCTTTCTGGGGAGAGAAAAAAAAGAAACAAATTTGTAATGAAACATTTGTGAGAGATCTTGCCATGGTGACCTGCAATAGTGAGCTCATGATAGTTCTAGCTTTGTGATAGCTCCCCCACTGTTTGCATTCTTCTCCCTTTGAGAAGCAAGATTCTCTCATTTCTTGACAGCACTTGCGTGTGTCTTCGTTAAGGAAATGCACATGTTCTTGCATGTTCTTATGTCCCTGCCAAGGAGATGCTTAAAAAGACAGTTCTGTGTGTGTGCACACATGCAGAGAAAGAATATATACAGTCATCCCACAGCTCTGAAAAGAGAGACCATGCATAGCAGGATAGCTGGCATTAAAAAGGGGATATTGTTTTTAAGTAACACACTGGTCAGAATATAAGAACAGGACTAATAAGCACATGAAAAGAAATTGCCTCATTATGCAAACAAGCTTCCTTAAACTGTCCTCAACTGACTTGTAGAAAAAGCAGAGAAATAAATAGATGGCATGAACAACTCCACCTAACACATAATGAATGCATGAAGCCAGGTAAACAAGTCAAACATTAATCAGTAACATAATGTCTTGGTTCTCCAAGAACCAAGTGGATTAGTTTTATTTTCCTTCTGTTTTCTTACCATGAAGAAGCAAAGATGAAACAGGATCTCAGCTGGGAGATTGGGGCAGCCCCACTAGTTGCTACTAGTTGCCACTCAACTAGAGTTCCCACCATGGCTCCAATGCCATGATACAATCAGATGGATACTGGCTGACCTTCGAATTTCTGTACTGTCCTATTCATTATACTAAAACAATTCAAACTTGGGTATTTTCAGCTGCTATTTTCAAAAGCCACTTACAGGATTTGAATGCCTGGCCCCTAGGGAAATTTGAGAATTGTGCCAGAAGGATTTAACTTGAAAACTCATCCATTTATTTCAAATCCTTACTGCTAATGTTCTCATGTAGTCACTTACCGGGCTGCATAACCTAAGATGTGCGCTCGGATGATCATTGCTGCCTTGGTGACTTCCACTTCTCGCTGTTTCTCCAACTTGTGCTCTAAGGACTCCCGGAGAAACACCTACGTAAGAAAACTTCTGGCTTAAGAAATTTTGGTGAACATATTTAAGGGAGAGCCAGACCAGCCCAAGCAGCAAGCCCCAGCTTTGAATTCAGAGAAGAGTACTATTTCCTCAGCAGGAAAGAGAAAAACAAAATGTAGTCCCCTTAAAAGAAAACACCTGCAGATGATCCTCTAACTTTGGATTTCAGTGGGAAGGGTCAGATTACTCTATTGTATCTTTTAACTAGGAACAGGTTTTTTTTCCAAATGTAATGTAATTACTGGATACATCCAATAGCCTTTCCTACAGGCCAAGAAGCTGCAGGACTTCGCATGAACTTTCTAATCAGAGGGGCAGAAATACCACCCCGATAATTTACTTTTTTCACGGGCACATCAGGCTCCACAACTCCTTACAAGGCTTGCTGCTTCCAAAGACATTGCTGCAGGACAGCAGAAGTAGGCACAAAATGAGAGGGCCTTCATGTTCACATCGACTCAACTGTGTTTTCCTGCTGTTACATGGAGAGAGCTGCTGGGGCCAGACAGCCCACCACAGCCAGCCACCCTCCCACACACAGAATGCTTCCCAGGCTCTCTTCCAAGCACTAACCTGGATCATTCACCTGTGTGCCTAGTGTCTCAGAGGCAGCTGACACATGGCTTTGACATAAACTGAGCTAACAGACTATTTTGCCTTAAATAAATGAAACTGCTTCTCCAGTCAAGCAGGGGCATGGGGGAGGCAGCTTCCCTCTTCCACCTGCCTTGACATCTGCTCTTTACCACACACTCACATAGTGGTGAGCTATCTGCTGTCAGCGCTTTTTCCAGCTCTTCTCAACTTTTCTTTTTTAAAGGCCAAGTATCCTGGTGTCAGCTATAGGTGACAACAGCCTGGCATGCTGCTGCCTAACACATGGGCAGCTGGAAATAGCAAGTTCAGTGACACTTTGATTATGTGGGATGAGAGCCAGGATGCACACCACAACGTGGGGATGAGGAAAGCTCCTGGACAGGGTGGACTCTTCTAAAGAAGGATGGCTGCAAAAACATCTAAAAGCAGGAATGCATCTTTGAAGTGCTGGGTGTTTTCTCTTGATGTGAAAAAAACCCCAAAAACCCAACCCAAAAATCTCTCACTCCCTCCCCCCAGAAAATCAAAACCCAAAACCCAAAGGATTTTTGGGGGTGTTCACGCGCAAAAGAAGCTGTTTTTATCTCTGCAGTTTTGTGAAAAAAGTCATCATCAAAGCCAAAGCAGGACTCTTAAGGAGAGGCACAGTTCTGAGTTTTGAACAAAGCTATAAAGGGACTTTCTAGCACAAATTACCCAAGAAACAGGAATGCAAACTCCCACAGAAAGTCTCGAAGTCCCAACATCAGAGCTGCACTGGACAGCTCTTTCTATATGAAGTTTTCCCTCACAGAAAAAGCCTTTTCTTTCACTCAGTGGGCAATCTTTCTTTGCTCTACACACAGCCTTTCAAAAACACAACAAAATTCTTCAGAAAAGCATTCAGCTACTTCTGGAAAAAAAATGGATGGTAAGCAGATGTCAAGCTCAGGCTAATGCCTTTTCCTGACCAGGTGCATTGCAGCTTGAGATGTAAATGACAAGGAAAAAAAATCACACTGAAGCCAAATCATCACAATGTCATTATTATCCCTTTAAAATAATATAGGGGCAGGTTAGTGCCTCATGCCACGTTCAGTCTGAAAGCAGTGTCCTCTTGTGCTCTGCTCCTGTTTATGCAGTCTCACAAATGCACAGGCAGCTCCTGGGGGAGGATGAGCCCTGGCCACAGAAAGGGAACCTACAACAGAACTCTGGCTCCTGCCGAGGTCCTGATGAGCAGCTGATGAAAACAATTTCTGATAAACATGTGTCCCTAAGATGCCAAAGCACTCTCCAGGGTCCATGCATAAATACTGTTAACATCTGAAATAGGATGGGATGCACAGCCCAGATCTGCAGCCGAATGCTACCACTGTGCTATTTGTAAGCCATTGGCTACAAAAATAGGATGGAAGATTACATCAAGGGCCATCAGAGTATTTCAGATTACTTCTTCTTTCTTACAGTAACTGTAAGATGATTAAAACAACTCTCAGAATGCAAATCTAGGAGTCCTTAAGCATACAGAGGAAGAGAAGAAACCCTTCCAAACCATTCCAAACTAGCTGTGGGGAGAAGAGGGGGAAGGAAAGAGAATTTCCTGCAGAAATCAATCAGATTTTACAAAATATATTTGCTACATTATGGCACTAAAAAGGGTTTTTAAAAAGTTTTTAATATTTAGGAGACCTCAAATCCTGAAATGGGGAATCTTCCCTTGAGTCTGCAATGCTTTCACATCATGTGCTGAAATCCATGAACACAAATCACAAGCTGTTGTCTACAATCAAATTTGCAAAATGAGCACATACAAACACCTGGATTGTTACATTTCTCAAATTAAAATTGATTCATTAATTTATTCTAAAATAATTTGACATTTTTTCTTTAAAGAAACAGAATGTGGGCAAAGTTCAGGTTGTCTGGTAGAACACATATCAAGGTCTAATGTACTGCTAGAAAAGACTCAGACTAGGATGGCAAACACACTTGAAGGTCAATTCTGCCACGTGAACACTGGCTAAAATTCTTCTCCTGATTTCTGCCACTGAAGAGGTATTGGTCAGGTTGGTTAACTAGTATTAGTGGGGCTCCCTGCAGAACAAAAGTTCCCTACTTCTAAAAATTAAAAAATCTAAATTTTAAGTTCTGACCCTCACCAATGCTACCACTTGTGAGAAGTGACAGAGAATTCAGGTGGACTCTTTCTCTGTGACTGAAATCACAGAGTTAAAAACGCAGTTCCTAAGTGTCTTAGCAAACTCCTCAGCACAACCATTAATGGTGGGTTTAAGAATTTCACGAGCACCAACAGGCATGTGCAGCTTCTTTAAAGGCCAGAAGTAATTACCATTAGATCTACATCTCTGCAGCTGTGCAGTCTGAATCCTGTCCCCTCAGTTTTGTACATGGACCAGCACCACAATATGCACAGTCAGCTTATTTTACCTTATTTTTTCCAAGCTGCCATTCAGTACTTGTGTTGTCATACAGACGAAGTAAGACGGCACATTTCTCATTTAAATCTTCAGGGAGAGTTAAGTTTCTCATGAGGACTTTATACCTGGCAACCAAAAAGTATTTATTGCTTCATTTAAGAGATAAAGTTCTATTTTGGCCATATGATTCTTTTTACTTTTGTTCCTCAACATGGTGCCCATGACTTACACTTGAAGGGCACCAGTCAGTGTGTTTACCTTTTATAAAAGTCTTGAAAGGGCCTCCGGACGGGGAAACCAGCCCTCCGAATCCTGACCGTCTCCAACATCCCAGAATAGCGCAGCTGGTTAAGCACCACTGTCTGATCAAACTGGTCTGGCATCTGAAATGAGCAGGTTCAAAACAAAAATTTTAATAGCAATGGTTAGATGTGGGGGAAATAAAGAAGGGCAAATTGTATGAATCTGAAATGCACAAAGCCTAATAACTGGCTACACAATGTCTTAAAGGATATTAGCAGTCCTGAGCATATAAAAATATCCACAGAATGGAAATCACAGGGTAATTACAGAATATCATTTCCATAGACAGAGCATTTACAGCCATTTGATCTAATCAACTGTCTCTTTCCATTTCATGTGTATTTGTAGGCTATTGCTGTGTAGGCAGAAACAAAAGAAAGAAGCACAGGCAGCTAATAGGTTAACAGCTATAAGCTTGACTATTTTGCTTCTTCAGCAATTGAATTTAAAGTCCCTGTAGAGGATCCCAAATGTTGAAGACACACAAATACAAGCCATATGGATTTAATAAAAAACAAAACCAGAAGGATGGAAAATATTCAATTTTTAGTGTATTGACAATTATCTGCTATGGATAGGAAGAAAAGTTTCCCAGTGGTCCCTCATGTCTTAAGTAAGATGTATTTGAAAGAGTTTCTATTTATTTCTATTCTGAATGGTAGAAATATTCTTTTATGTAAACAGACTATCCCCCACCCCTGCTTATCTGAAGTGAGCTTCCCCTTGATTTGCCTGCAGTTCTTTCAGAATTGTTTTCCCATCAGAAAACAGATAACCCCACAACCACTCAGTTATGAAAACCTGTGAATACTAATCAGTATGGTTCTGCCACTGGGAGTCTCAGGAATGTTTTCATCCCATCTGAGATGTCACCTGTGTTTTCACCATGGTTTGAGGTAACCCAGACAGAGCCATGCAAAGCTGCTCAAGACAGCACTAATTGCTGCCTTGCAAAATACGGCCAACCCCCATAAGGAAATGCCACCACATGTAAACACATCATTTAATTCATCAGCATGAATTATCACAATCCACTTTAATCTATCAGCTGACCCTCCTCCACAGCCACTTGCAGAGCTGGAGCACTGTGTTCAGTATTTTGCAAGTTCAGGAGGTGGGATCTCACAGATAGTCAATGGTTCACATAAAGATCTGAAGTTGTTCAGATCTGACATTTCTGACAGAAATGATAGCAAGATCAAGCCCTGGAAAACAGTCCATCAGAGAACTGTCTTGTTATTTATTGACTGGCTTTAATCATGTCTTTTGTCCAACCCAACAAACAAATCACTCCCACAGATTTTAACTTGACAAATAAATTAAAATTAACAAATAAATTACACTCCCAAACTTTAACTTTTTATAAAAAGTACCTTCAGGAAAGCACAGGCTCAAAAGTTCATTTTAACTATCTAGTACAACCTTTTCCATCAGTGCCTTTATTCATGAACAAAATTCTGTGTGCTAGTGGGAGCACCAGAGGGAGAAAACTTCTCTGTGAAAGATGAGAACAAACTCATCTTCCTCAACAGTATATTTCATTTGGATTTTGCCACCGCGAGTAAAATCTCTGTATTTCAGTGAACACGCAGCATGAATGCTTTCAGCGAGGGTATTGATACTGTCGTGGCTGGTATTGCCAGCTTCCTGTATGTGCCCACTGTATGGCATCCAAGTGTCAGGGAACCAGCCTGGCACAGCTGCCCTCTGCATGTCCACGGCTGCCTCTTTCTGTGCAGGTGGCTGATGATGCCCGATGGGAAAGGCAGGGAATGGACACAGATGTACACACAGAAATCGTAAGGAAAAGCTTTCACTTTTCACCCTGTGTAACTCAAGGCTGATGCTTGACACAAACAGACACGGCTATTTTTTTTTTTTTTCTTTAATGCTAGAACCACTTTTAGTCCTATTACACTACCCAAACTTGGTGGCTCAAAAGGTGACATTTTTCTCAAGACTTGCAAACACAACAGTATTTTCCGTGTGCTGAAGTGGGCAGGAAGATGCATGGATGGGAGTGGGGATACACCACAGCAAGGCAAAACGCTGATGACATGACAGATGTCTCTATCCCCGAGCAGCCTCTTCCTCTGCAAGGGAGCAGCTCCTGCTTGGAGAGACAGATGGCTGCTGTACAACCTAACCCTTTTGTTGCCACCTCCAGGCACTTAGCAAGCCAAAAGTCAGCACCACACCTGGCTTGAAAGCTCATGTTACTGTTTAAAAAAACAACTTGTGTCACAAAAGAAGAAAAAACATTGTGGCAACATTTTCCCTGCAACTGCAGAAGTTTGAAACAGTCCAGCTCTGTCACCAGAAGGTGGAAATGTCACACAGATACCTAACTTCAAACGCCTGCATTCTTTAAAAAAGGCATTAAACTGCAAGAGATGTTAGCATGCTATCAACACAGGACAACATGGAGACCATTGCAACTTTCATCAACCACTTTAAACGCCTAATCCATCATTTTACATTACTCGCTATTTTTAATTACTCACAGACACATGAGACATTAAATTTAAGGGTCAAATCCTCCTGGCATATCATTGGAATTGCATCTGCAGCAAGCTGCTTTGAGTAAACTGAGGGTTGGTGATAAGAGATACGTGTGACTCATCTCTTATGCTTTCCAATATGAAATACTAAAAGATTACCACCGTGCCCC